CAAAATGCGATATCCGCCGAGTTATTCTGTCATGTTTTCTCACTTTTTTTCCAAACCGCGACAAACGCCAATCTCCCTTTTCTGCAGAATGCGATATATCCACTCAACCAATCACAGCGCACCATTCCACGCACCCTAGACAGTAATGGCAGTGCTTTGAATTCACCCGGCTTCCTAGTTTTCCTCATCTACTTTGTACTTTGTGATCGACAAACAAACTTAGGGCTGCACGATAAATCGCATGTGATTGACATGTGCATATCGTCAGTAAAGCCGGTTCTGTGATTAATAGTAAATCTCCATCACGTGCTTTCAGATGGAGCTGCATTTAATACACAGAGCCATAGATCACTGCAACATCGCGTTCATAATCGCAGATGAGTCGCATTCGATTATGAACGCGATATTGCGTAGCTTGTCAGCGAACTACGACTCTGTGTATTAAATGCCGCTCCATCTGAAAGCAGGTGACAGAGATTTACTACTAATCACAGAACCGGCTTTACTGACTAGATGCCCATGATAATCACATGTGATTTATCGTGCAGCCCTAATCGTGATATATATCGTTATCGTGATATAAAATTAGTCAGTGATATAAGATTTTGGTCATATCGCCCACCCCTACTGCCACCTGCGGGTGGTTCAGTGTGTTTAAAAGTATGCATTTAAAAATTAATCTCGTAACAAAATTTGTTGCAGTTGTAATATTGCAGTGTAAGTTATTTAATTTGAGTGTAACAGCCCTATTGATTAATCGCGATTAATCGTTTGACAGCACTAGGCTACTTCTTTTCAATGATTATTTCTGTAGGTTATATTGATGCGCCAGCAGGTGGCGACACTTGATCATTTTTATAAATGAATCATTTGAATCATTCATTCCGACTCATTTAAAGACATTGATTCATTCAGGAACGAACCACCAACCGTGTTTAGATTGGAGACACTGGACGGTTCGGGATGACTCTGCTTTAGATGATATCTTGTTTCGTTCAGAAATGCGTCAGATGTGGATCTAAATTCCTTTTCGAATTACATTGTTTGTTGTTATTACGACTTCAGTCAGGTACTTCAGAATCAGAAAAGGGTGACAGATGAAAGAACCGTGTGTATTTACTTATTAACAAGGTACGTATCTTTTGAATTTCACATATTTTGGCTTCATGCAGCAAACCCTGTCTGATAATGGAATCAGCTTTAAAAGCTTCCAGAAATGAGAGAGAGGGAGCAAATCTCATATATATGCTTTGTGTGAGATAAAATGAATGCTTGCCTTACTCATTCAAATTTATCAACAATATGAAGAGACATAAGAAGAAATAAAAGCAAGCAAAGTGATGTGTCAGTGGTGATACTGAGCATCCATTGAGTAAAATCATCATCTCTCCCTTAAGCACAAACCCAGAACCAGTCTCCAGTGTCACTGCACAGCTGAAGGCAAATACTATAAGCCTGCTTTCTGGGTCAGTTCTTAGGGGTGTGAGGCACAAAACACACAAACTTAACCAAAAGTAAATGCTAACTACGATAACAGCAAACTACAAGCCAGACTGGGTAAGCACTAAACTACATGCTGTTAACTAGGCTAATGTGCTAGCAATGTCTTTCTGCGGTTAAGGAGGAGAGCTGGCTCACTTCCCTAACTGAGATAATCTCTTCCTGTTTTGGACACCTTGGCCTCCATCTTGGAGCAGGATGCTTTTTTCCCCCTAAACATGAATTTGTGGTGTGGAGTGTCAAAGTGTGTCAGCGCTGTTGAGAGATCTGTCTAATTTAGTATATGTATGTTGGTGTAATATATAGGCAGCTCGCTTACCTGTTCCCCATCCTTCTGCACGGGAACTCCATCTGCTGCTGGAGAGAGAAGGAGATAAAAAGTGTAAATTATAGCAGGGTGCTTTGAGACTCAAATAGTAAAAGTATAAGCAGGGCATATACACTGAACAAAATTATAAACGCAGCACTTTTGTTTTTGCCCCCATTTTTCATGAGCTGAACTCAAAGATCTAAGACTTTTTCTATGTACACAAAAGGCCTATTTCTCTCAAATATTGTTCACAAATCTGTCTAAATCTGTGTTAGTGAGCACTTCTCCTTTGCCGAGATAATCCATCCATCTCACAGGTGCGGCATATCAAGATGCTGATCAAGTGTTGCGTTTATAATTTTGTTCAGTGTATTTTTGTGATTGGAAGAGTAGGTGGCTGTGATATAAACATTTCAAGGATGTTACAAGATCAGGGAGTGATTTCTTACAATAAAACACTGTAAACTACATCAATGCAGTCTACAGTACATCTACTGCCTACATTTCTTATAAAAAAATTTGAATTGTCTCTGTTATAGTAATTAGCATTTGCTGAGAACTTGGACCTTGTTTATTTGTAATTAATTTTCTCTTAGCCAGTTTAATAGTGTTACTGAGCATAATTGGTTGCACTGTGTGAAACTAAGCTTTATTAAAATGACTCTAACAATGATTATACCTTGCAGTCTACTCTGTATGTGGCAAAATAGTACAGAAATGATATAATCTTTTATAAACATTTAAGAAAGGTGAGTTGTTTAGAGTTTAATGGCTGGTGAACTTTTAGTATGAGTTGTCGTTGTCAATTCAATATGTGCTTGTCTCAATGATTAAGCTAGTGTAAATACACACAGGCGGTACAGTGAAACTCATTCAATAGAATACAGATATAAAGCATGATACATTTAATACTGATGTTGCAAATAGAAAAATTACTGTTTAACCAATAATGTTACTACATATTTAGCTTGAAAAATAGTGCATAAAATAAGCTTATAAAAAACAAAACAAAAACAGAGAGCTCTCTTTCAGACAGAAAGCAAATAATGACAAAAACAGAAACATCTTCAGGAATTTCACATTAAACAAAGGCAAAGCTAAATTTAAGTTGTTTAAAGATTGATCATGTTCTGTGATATTTGTTAATAAATGATACATTACATTAATGATAGAGTCTAATCATTTGCAGTTTAGGCCTATTTAATTTAAAAATATATATAATAGTCAAAAATAATGTTAAATGGTTATAATTATCCACAGAGATTGAAAATTAATACATTTAATAGAGTATAATTTAATAGGTATCAGTATTGGTATCAATATCAGCAATACTGGGTTTGATAGTACTTGGCAAAATTGTCATTTTAGGTGCAAATAAACACAAAAATTTTTATCGTTTATTATTTAAAATATTTAAATCACATCGTAACCCTCAACTTATTACAATAAATCTATATATATATAAGACATGCTGCTCCATCACAGTCATTTCCTGCTACTATTCACTGTCAAGTCGCATTACAGAACTACTTCTATAAAGTATAAAGCACTAGCAAGGGAGAAACACTAGCAATGAGAGCAAATGGTTAGGGCAGTCAACAACAGAAAATGACTGTGCACTGAAAACCGAATTAAATCAGATCCTAACACCTTTCACCTGCCTACGTACATGCTGTCCTTTCATTATAATCACAGCTTGACCTACTGATAAAACACTACAACAATAGAGAAAAGAGAGAGAGGGAGAGTACATGTGGAGGAGGCAACGGCACCAACCACTGCAACGTAACATTATTATAGATTTAATTCGTTCTCATGCACTGGCCCACTTCATAAGTGCCCTAATATAGTTAAATAATTACGCAATTCATTACCTAAAAAATGATGGGCCAAAACAGATACGGTGGAAAACAGGTCACCTGTATTCGGGCCTGAATGATTAACGAATCCTATCCTTTTATTTATTTATTTTGCTCCTTCCTTACACAGACTAATCCTGATTCCACAAAAACTTAATTACAGAAGGCCCTGTGCTAATTAAACTTAAACACAGCTTTGGTCTCAGGGTGATTTCTCACATTATTAAATGAGTAATATTCTTTCATAATCAGCCATGACATGGGCTAGGGTGTGTAACCTTACACTGTGCTAATTATGTTGGGATATTCAGAAAGGATTTTGGTGTTGGTGACCTTCCCTTGTTTTTCAGAGATGGTGAACGCTTGTACAGTAGATGCACTTGTTGCACTATGTTGTAATTAATGAAATCATGTGGATAAACAGGTGAGATTGAAAATAAGAGCTGTTGAATTAATCTCAGTGCATATTAAATAATTTTAAAAATTGAGATCATTGTCAGTTAGGCCTTTTATATGCTATCTAACATTCTTCTAAAAGTTAACTTAGCAGCCAGCAAATAAATATCATGGTTCACAGCTGTAACTTAAAAGAAACACTATTGGCTATTTTACAAAAGTGATGAACCAATATTATGGGTGCCATCAGAATGAGAGTTCAATAGTATTGCTTTCTCCAGTGAAAAATCATCTCGTCTGAATCTGGAGAGACATATGCACAGATCAAGCACCATTAACAAAGGAAAACAGTCAAAAAGAGTTCAAAACAAATATGTTGGTGAATTTAGATGTGAGAGAACAGCTGGACTTTTTCACTGGAAGAAGCTTTATTATGGATTATGGATTGGTATTTGTAGGCCTGAAGTGACGGTTTAAAGTTAAAATGCCTTAGTGATGTATTCATTTATTACAAACACACAATTTTTCACTTCACAAGACTAATACATTTAATGGAATTGTGTCATTTACTTGTGGATTATTGTAATGTTTATATGAGTTGTTTGAAGTCTCATTATTATGGCACCCATTCACTGCAGATGATCCACTGATAAAGAAGTGATGCAATGGTACATTTCTTCAAATCTGGTCAGATTAAGAAACAAACTCATCAACATCTTGGATGGCCTGAGGGTGAATCACTTTTCAGCAATTCTTCATTTTTGGGCGAACTGTTTAATTTGTTTCATTTATGAAGTTCTCATTAATAGAATAATTAGTGCAACCCAACAAATGCCTTATGTGTGTGTTATACAATGTGATGCAGAAATAGAAAGCAGTGTAGTTTGATATTTGAGAGGGAAACTGTTGTTGATCTCTCTGTCTGGGTGACAGAGTAGCTCTGTGGTCTGGAGTGACGGCTAACGTTGTGACACACTGACCTACTGATACACTAACACCAGCCATTTTATTCTGTCCCTTTAGAGATTACTCACTGTGTTCGTCAAGATCAGGAGCCAGACATTATGAAGATAAATCTGTGTCTGTCTGGCCCAATTAAATTCATGGTTTAAATGGCAAATTTGTGGCTATTAAGCCTATGTGTATTTACTATGTGCATATATCTGGTAGCGATTCTGGTGACCTAGATATTTATTTTGTGACTGGAATGAAACTCTTGTTTGATATGAAAGGTTATGACAGATTATTGCGAGATAAAGTTTAAAATAATATAAAAAAAATTAAGTTGAATTGTGTACAATTGCTACATAATCTCACAATTTACATCCACAATTGAGACAGATAAAGTCACATTGTGAGATATAGTTACATTGCAAGAGCAAAAGTTCCAATAATGAAATACAAATTCACAATTGTGAGATATAAAATCACGCCACGTTGTCACGCTTTGAAATATAAAGTCGCATTTCCTAGAAACAAAGTTGCAGTTGTGAAATATAAATTCCCATTGTGAGACAGAATACACACTGGGAGATATGACACATTTATAATCAATGAAGTCACAATAATTAGAAATACTGAAAAAATTGTAAGATATAAAGTAACATTGCAAGATAAATAGTCGCAATAATGAATGACAGATTCACAACTGACAAATATTAAGTCATTTTGACATAAAATTTGCAATTCCAAGAAACAAAGTTGACATTGCAATATGTACTCACATTTGGATATACAGTCACAATTACGATAAATGAAATCGCAAGAAATAATGACAAAATCGTGAGATATAAAATCAAACTGCAAGATAGAAAGTCGCAATAATGAAAAACAAATTCACATTGTGAGAAAGTCAGGTTGTGACATATAAAATGTAAATTCCTATATACAAAGTTGCAAAAATTTAGCAAAAGTCACCTTGTGAGATAAAAAACACTGAGAGATATGAAGTCACAATTGTGATAAATAAAGTCCCAATTGTGAGATATGTAGTCACTCTGATGTAGAATGGGGAGGCGGAATGCTCATACATGGAATTGAATTAATTGACAATTAAATTGATTTTTCTTTTTAGAATCTAATTTAACCCCTGATGATATGTCATTAATTGATCTAACTCTAATGTTGTTTGGAAGTAAACATACTAAACAAACTCCTGCTGACTGTATGACTGATTTGATAATGACTGGGAATTATTATTAAATGTCATTAAAGTTGAAGAAATTATAATAAGGTACTGCAGCATCTAATGGTCTCCATACTCTCAGCATCCTAAAAAACAGCAGCCAATTCAATTAAAGCTATGAATGTGGCACTCATCAGCCCATCCAGCTGGCAAACACCCTTAGGCCCAATCCCAATTCTATTTTATACCCCTTCCCCTTCCCCTACCCCTCCGCCTACCCCTTCCCCTTGTCCCTTGAAACAGAGTGTCAAGGGGTAGGGGTGAAAATATTCCCCTAAGAATTGGGACACCACTACTATGCCGTCACACGTCATCATACGTCGTCTAGCTCCTACAATACACACACCTATACTGGTGTGCTGGAGTGCATTAGAGCCTTTAATTACCGTTCTATATTAATGCGCTGCTCACACACACACACACACGCATATATATATATCGGAGATCGCGCAGCTCACACATCCAGGAGAAAAGAAACTTGTCAACACTGCCCCGCGACTTTTATTAATAACAGTTTAAATACTGAATCGCTACATTATATTTTCCAGCAACAAGAGGATAAAATCGCCAAAAATGCTTACATTTATGAGTCTTTTTCTTCGCTCGG